AAAAAAAAAAAAAAAAAACTATAAGCTGGACAACTTAGATTAGTCCTGAATCCAACAAACTTTAGAACTAGTAAAGTCTTTCATCCAATATTACATAAACTTCCAAACCATAGAACTACTAATTCATGACTGTACACAAAAGTAGGAAAGGTGAAAAAGGTCATCTCTATAGTCTATAGTCGGAACATATATCAACAATCAAAGTCGACAAAACGGTAGTATAGAGTTGATCAAGTTCCCATCAACCTTGATGGCATCTAGTCATCATCTTCTTCCTCCTGCATCAAATTGAATTGGAAAATATTTGTCGGCATGATTTGGAAACTCTCGTTCGTCAATAAAAGAATTAAAAACTTGACGAGCACAATTTACCTCCTCACTGCCACCTTCATCATCTCCTTCGTCATGAACCTCCGACTTTGATTTGTCCGATTCATCATCGTCACCACCTTCTCCAGCCTAATAGTACAATGTGAAAAAGGCCAATTTAGCAAGTTACAAACATATATGTTACTTAACGAAAGACGGTAAAGCTGACAACAAATGTAACGAGATTTAGCAACCAGTTTTCTGTTGTAAACTTCCATCTGTCGTTCGTATTCCTTCTTCCTCTTGTTTGCCACCTCCACAAACTGGGCTTTTTCCTAATAGTTAACTTTCACGTTTTTGGTCAATGTTCAAAAAATTAAACATAAAGGTCGCCAGATATCGGTACATATTTACCTCGTCACTCATAGACTTCCACTTCTCACCACCAGCTTTACCGACCTACATTTTGCACATTAACAGTGTCAAATGCTAGGACCAAAAGTAGGTTGGTAGAACACGAGTACTGAGAGAAAGTGCAACACACCACGGAAACTGATTTGTTTTTGGGGTGTTTTTCCTTGTATTGCTTCCTAAAGCCCTCCCTGCAACATGAATAAGACCGAGGAGCATGTTAGAAACACATTCGAACAACAGAACTTGGTATTGACCAAATAATGATACCAAGAAAAAAAGTTGGGAAGCCGATAGACAACAGGGCAATCTGCATACATGAAAACGAAGAAAGCACTTTGGGGCCTTTTTGGCTTGTTTGGATCTTTTGCTGCTTGCTTTTCTTTCTTTGTCTGCTTCTTCACAGACAACCTAAGATTACAAGTACCCACCCAAGCAACAGAAGTAAGAAGTTTTAAGGCATCATAATAAAACAAGTTGAGTGAAAAGAGAGACGAAAGGAACAAAATTAACCAAAAAAAAAAAAAAGGTTACTCACTTCTAAAAAAATTAGACAATACGTTCATTTTGGAATTCAGATCACAGCAGCTATTTTTTTACGTCACTAAAGCTATAAACTTCAGAGAAAAATAAACAGACAAAAAATAGATCAAGGCAGAGTTAAGCTTAACAATCATAAACAAACAAAAAAAAAAAAGTAGTATTATTATGTTAACTTCTGATGACATACGTGTTGATACCGAGCTGTGATAGGCAACAAAATCTCGACACGTGCAAATCAAAGAATTGCTGGAAATTAAATGTGATAGAGGATTAATAATTAATTCGGCTATCATCTATTGTTGCCAAGTTAACTAAAGAAGGAAGCTCACAACACCCCTTCTACCATCGATTGTATCTCTGTTCCATTATATTCAAAAGTAAAAGTTGGCAATCTAAAGCAGGCAAGTGGAAAACGGAACGACTATAAAGGCATGAATGGTATGGAACCCACATAAAGAGTTTGAAGGAGATGCACATGTAAAAGTTAGATTAGGTCTTGGCACGTGTATAAACAAGTGGAAAAAAAGAGATTAATCCCAGTTCACACAATGCCAGGGGGCGGTCTATATACAAGACTCAAGGGCCAGATTGTAAGGGACCTTTTATTAGACACAGTTTTAAGCAATAAGAGGACTGATTCAGAGCATATTTCCAATCTATATATTTGCTATTTATCAATTTATATCATCTTCCCTCTTTACATCCTTAAACAGTTGTAAATCTGTCGTTGTAAATTGCATAACAACAATATGCATTCCAATAAAAAAAAAAAAAAAAAAATTATCAAACGTTCAACATAGAAAGACAGTGAGTGAGTTAAATCAACTGCATCTAAAACCAAATGCCAAAAGATAACGGCGTCATCGATATACATCTAGCTCACCGGAACTTATATCTCGAACTACTTACATAATGGTTGGCTTGCTATCAGGTCCACCGAAAACTTTGAAACTCAAGCTAATTCTACCAAATAATTATTAAAAAAAAAAATGAAAAACTAACAAAAAAAATGATGAAAAAAGATAGAACTACAGAAACAAGTCCTATTAATGCATCCAAGCACGAAGATGAGTTATTCTGTTCACTAATTCACCAATCAAACTAATATCACGACAAATGAATTCTCCAAACAAAACCTAAAAATCGAAAGAAAAACACACACACACACACACACAGCTCCCAAAACTACCAGCTTACATTTGCAGCTACGGATTAAAATCGCAAGCGGCGCTCCTGCGTGAGCACACACTCACGAATATATAAAGAAATGAACAACAAAATTACAGCAAAAAAAAAGATCTACGGAAACATCACAGACCTGTTGTCGGCCTTCCTCGAAGCAGCTTTCGAGCTTCCTCCTTTCATGGCGAAACACTTCAAAAGAACAAAAAGAAAACGAAAAAGGGTATCAGATTATAAAAAACGTTTCAAAATTAAGAAGGAAATATGGCGAACTAACAAATTGAAACCATACCGCAAACGGCGACGAGCAACCGTGGATTAGGGTTAGGGTTTAACTTCCCTTTTTCCAATCGAATTTGATTTGAGTATAGCAGATAAGAGTGAAGATCAATGGCACTGCCACAAAAGGCGTGCTATTAAATGAAAACTAATAAAAGCGGTCTTTCTGCCACGTGGATTTATTCGTCTATCTCTCCTTTTATATAAAATTCAAAACGTGTTGAACTTAAGTGACAGATTTTCACGCTTCGAATACTGACATGACGAAAATCTATGCTTCGTAATTTTGTTTTTATATTATTTTGCTCTGGAGTTAGAATTGGTATCAGAAATAAGTAACTCGACACATATATTCATTAACTCAACCTTTATATTGTACATGGCTATTAGTACTAATTTACTTAAAAAAAAAAAAAAAGAGAGCAGTGCATGTTTAGCTGGCTTGTTTAAAGAGAAAATTGTAAATTTAAGTTTTGGATGATAATGTTATAATTGTATCGATAATCATCTCGGGTGAGCCACAAGGCCCACAACTCACAAGTATACGGTTCAACTGATTTTATCGTTTTCAATAAATATTAAATTATTTTATTATTAAAATATAAATAGAATATAAAGTTACTTCTAATAAATAATAAAATTAATTTAAATCTAGTTACAATGTAAACATATTAAAATTAAGTGCAGAACTTTTAATTTATATAAATAAATTAATAAAAATATTTTTTTCAAGAAAAATACAATATAAGTCGATATTTTGATCGGTATTTTTCGATATGAAATCAGTATAAAGCGATATGTTAAAATGGTATTTTGAGGGTACTTGATGTAGGGGAAATAAACGAATTGGAAGGATAAACGAGTAAACGAGATATTCTCTCGTAAAACACGTAAAACTCAACAATATCTTTTTATCATTCAAAATCAACCAACTAAAATAAACTAGAGGAGTCATTTATATAAGGCCCCTAACCTTAAACCTTAACTTGTCCACCAAGCCACTAAATAATAATAATAATAATAATAATAATAATAATAATAATAATAATAATAATAATAATAATAATAATAATGATATTAATAATAACTAATCTACACCATTCTCCCTCGGTTTGGAAGGCTTCGCCCTCGAAGCCGATGCGCTGTCGTGGCCGGCGTGTGGTGTCGAATCTATGGTAGGAAACTCCCGTCGTTTATCCCGGTCAAACACAAAAGTTGAACGTCGCCCTACCAATGCAACACACTCTTGATTTTCATCAAACAAGGATACGACTACAGTCGTCTCACCATCATCAACAACAAATACTGAGACTCTTGGGCACAACCAAGAACCAACACATCTGCCTTTAGAATAAATTATCACACAAAAAAAGTGATACCACATATCATATGAATCACAAGCAATGGATATATCAATATCTGAATATACATCAATTAATACTGACCCAGTACGAATTTTAAAACCATCTTCATCCATGTAGACAACTGCATTCTCATCGATTCCCATGTCCCCGCAAAGATTGTTCTCCGTCACCGGATGCTCTTCATCAAATATCGGCGGACCATCGTACAATAGCCCATCAACTGCTCTCCATCGAATTCGGCAATGTCAACGCGAAACGGGATCTCCCATCGACCATATTCGCGATCAAATTCCCTCTGCATAGGCCCAAAGTCTTTGGGTCCTTGACAAGCCCAAAAAATGTGCCCAAAATCCCAACCGTGTCGATGTTGGTTGAACCCCGCGAAGCCGGTACCATCACGTTCAAGTCTCAAATCGTGTCGACCACGATATCCGCTGGCGAAGGCAGCCACCTTGCGCTTGCCTATGTCGTCGCTTTGATCGTCGTCGTCCATGAAGACCAAGCCCCGTCGCCATATGTCACGGCCGACGTATGCAGCGAAGGGGTCAGCCTCGACGTGCGGAGGTTGCCACTTGCCGAAGGGATTAACCTCCGAGATGGTATCCTTGCTGTCTTTGTCGTCGGACGGTGGTTGTGGAGATCTCTAGTGGGCGCCCCGCCTAGACCACGACCTCCACGTCCTCCGTGAACTCCCCCGCGAACGCCCCGGTTGCCGGCATCACGGTTCGTTTGCAAATCCCCATCCACGTTGTGGATCGTAAGACGCACTTCCTCGATCTCCGTCAAAAGATCATCAACCTGACGATCCAATTGATTGATCTGGCGGCCGAAGCCCGTGGCTTGTCGACCCGGATACTCAATGGTGGCGTCACACCCGTTGATGTTAGTCCTTCTGCAGCGGCATCTTGATCGTGTTGACTTCTGATACCAACTGATGTAGGGAAGACTTACGAGTGGGAATGATAAACGAGTAAACGACATACTCTCTCGTAAAACACGCAAAACTCAACACTATCTTATTTTCATTCAATCATCAACTATTTCATAACAAAGTAGAAGAACCCTTTATATAAGGCCCCTAACCCTAAACCTTAACTTGTCCACCAAGACACTAAATAATAATAATAATAATAATAATAATAATAATAATAATAATAATAATAATAATAATAATAATAATAATAATAATAATAATAATAATAATAATAATAATCTACACCAATACTTGACCGGCCGGACCATCGGTATACAATATCATTGATAATACCAGTCGGTACGTTATACTATTTTAAACATTGATTTTCGGGTTGTAAATTTTACTAAAGTGATCCTTTAATTTTATTTTATTTCTTTGTGTGTAATTTTGGTGCCATCGTTAGTCAATTGGCTAGTTAATATAACCGTGCTTTGCAAGTTGACCAATTTTGTCGATTAGATTTGCAACTTTTGTTTTCTTTCTAAAAGACTTATTAATTTTAATAATTATTTCACCTAATTCTATTTGTATGTCGCTAGTTAATATGAGCGTACTTTGCAAGTTGACCAATGTATAAGTGAAAAATCTATTGTGTCATTAACGAATTTCTACTTATACAAAAAAGTATGGCAAACTTTCTCCTTCATTCATGACCATTGACAACATATTTGACGAGATTGATGAATGTTACACAATATGTGTTTTGATTACAACTAGAAAACTGTGAACTGAAAATGATGTTTTGTGGTTTTTTCCCGTTTGGTCTTTTCTTGCTGCAAAAAAATAAATAAAATAAGAAAATAAAAAAATAGTAACAATAAATTAAAATAAAATAAAAGTTTTTCAATGATTTAGCTTTCAAGTGAGTTTGTGTTGGTGTTATTATATCTTTTATTATTTTATTACCTTTTGTTATTAATAAGTCATGGAAATTTTATGAAATAAGCCTTTTTTTTTTGTGGTTGGCTTTATTTTATAGGTATATTTCTTTGGGTGGTTGTAAAGGCAGCGTTTTAACTTGTTGGTGTGGTAAATGTTACTTTCTTAATCCTTTAATTTTTACTTCTTCCACTGTGTCATAATATTTTTGGATTCTTTCAGCCTTTCTGTGATATTGCATGTATTCAAAAGAGTTTAGTGCGAGTTTGGGAAATTAAGTTATTTTATACCTTTATTCTTATTTCATTTGGGTATTCTTTGTAAATGGAGATGAAAAAAGTTAATTATGAGGCTATAAACCAAATGATATCTTTTTGGGAAGTAGTTTAAACAATTTTCACAGTTTTCTAGATTGAGATGAATGGCTAGAAAGATGATCATAGAGTAAAATTCCAAAGCTACTCAAAGAGCATCTGAAGTGATTAATTAGTATAGACTCGTGTATCTGCTCTCGGTGCAACATGCGTGGTTCCTTTCAAGGCTAATTCTGCAAGAACTTGTGTGTTCATCAATTACAAGTGTGTGTATACATAAATACATATATACTAGTACAGATCCCGTGCGATGCACGGGGTACACAAAATTAAGGTCATTTATCAAGTCTTATAATTATATAAATGAATTAAGAAAAATGTACGGGATATATATAATATGTGACCGGTAATAGGCCAAAATGTGAACATGGGTGATGCACGGGGTGCACAATTTTAAGGTCATTTATTAGTACAGAGTCCATGCGATGCACGGGGTGCACAATTTTCTAGTATGTGTATTACAAATACATACCGTATGCACGGAACAGAAGCACTAAATGAGTTATTTCCACAGAGTTTGCCCGTAAGTAGCTCCTGAACACGGGTGCACAATTTGTAGTACGCACTATAAAATCAGAACAGATTTCCATACAATTATATAATAAATTAGATAATAAATAAAGCCTTTTTTATTTAGTAAAGATTTTACATACTTTTTTTTACTTATCGGATGTTATGAGATTTTTTTTGTTAAACCGATTTGATGGGATATAATACAAATACAATTAGAGGATTGAACAAAATCAGAACAAATTTCTATACAATTAGATAATAAGAAGGAATTAGATAAGGAAAAGAAGAAATTAGATAAAGAATTTTGAATCTACCTTTTTTTTAGTATAGATAGACCTTATGTACAAATTTTGACTTCACCGATTTTATGAGATTTGTTTTGACAAAATCAAAGACGAACACTGAAAAATGTTTCTATTAACATTTACAATGTGTATTTAATGTTTTTATTTTGGCAAATTATTCTTTTTAAGTGTGATATATAAATATTAAAAATACTTAAAATATTTTATACCATCTATAAAAGTATCTAAAATATTTTATATTATTCACAAATAATTTTGAAGCTACCTAATTTTTTCTAAACTACCCGTAAGGAAAATATGTCTAAAAATTCTTCATTTAACCTCCTATATGTATATATATAGAGAGAGCAAATGTGTAAAAATATTTATACAAATAATATTTAAAAGTATCTAAAATATTAGTAATTAGACATGTGAAATTTAGGTTTTTAAAAAATCTATATAGATAATAGATTTATAGTAGTAATTAGAATTTTATTTATTTACCTTTAAA